GGTCACTTGACTATTATTGGATCCACGTTCGTTGTATCACATTTTCCGAAGACTCTCCTTCACTCCACAGGAGAAGTATAAGAATGTCTGTTAGAGATGTAACAGACCGGTTCGGTTTCGACTTTAGACTGGTTATTCTACCGGATTTTCCCCGTTAAGGGTGTGGGTGTGGGAGTGGGTTGATGGGTAGCGGATTTAGATGGATTCAGGAGTGGGTGTGGATGTTTGGATATGAACTACTCTTTTTCCAAACCAACACTCACACCCTTTAGCCATTCTCATCTACACCCACCCTTGAAAAGTGAGTATTATTCTGTACAAAGAATGTTGCTTTATAAAACATGTGGGTACAACTATTGTAGATGTCCAGGATAATATAATTACAAATTTGTCATCAGCAGACGATCAGACGTCTGAAGTGCAAATAAATTCATTCGTTTTATCGTCAGTTGTGATCAATATGTCTTCACCATATCACTTCAGAACCGAAAGCGTACGTAAACTTACAACTATCATTCGCTTCGATTCTAGGACCATGTCCAAATGGTTCTGATCTTGCAATTATTTTGTTGCCTAAAAGATCACGAGAAATTGTATAGTCGTCCACGGCAACGACATTCAATGTTTCAGTGCTTTATCATGTTGCCTAATTATTATCAACAAGAGAAACAATGGAATTAACATGGACTTTACGTCATTCACATGGTATCGGTCTTGCGAACAACGGAATACGTGACAAAAAATTGCGTTTCATCAACTCTGTTGTCCAATGTCTCGCACAAACATCAACACTTGCTCAATGGCTAATTACTGAAAAAGACAAATTGAAAAACTCTATGTATTAAGAATAAAAATATTTTAGAAACTTGAAAGGGATCCTTATTTTGTCATGAGAGAATTTGTGATATATAACAGTAAACAACGTAGAGTATTTAGTCTGCCGTATTGCTCGCTTAACAATCTCATATAGAAGATGGAGAATTAAAGACAGTTCGTTTTAAAGAAGCATATCGTCCAGTTATGATTTATTACGAAGCAATAACTAACAATTCGTTACTGCCGATTGAGCTGACTGTATTTCGAATCGATTAGCTTCGTAGCACAATAATGAGGAATCAATTAAATCACTGTCAGACTGAGTAAACTATATATATGTGCGTGTCAATACACTATACCCCGTTCACACTCATATATCTACGTTACCTCTGTAATGGATCTCATCCATCACTACCTCTTTGATATGATCAACAGATCATATCGCATCTATTGTTCAACCTTTCTTTCTCTGTCGTTTGACCGTTTCGCATCGTTAGAGATAGACATTAGTTCATTGTTATCCTCGTATATATACTTGTGTATTCATATTCGTGCGCGTTCATTCTTCTTTTCATTTAATAAAGTACGAACAAGTCATCGTTCCGTTACAACCTCATTTTTGGATAAGCCTTGGCTCGTAGTGCTGACATAATAAAAGTAGACCTTGGACTGCTATGAGAGAGTGAAGTTATAAATATATCTATATTTGTGTCGATAGTTACTAGACGACAACCTTCTATCTTATATAATAAATTAGGGAAGTAAAGAAAAAGACAGAAGGAGTGTGGGAAAGAGAATGCGGATATAAAAAGAGAAGTAGAAGAATAAGACGAGGAGGATAAGTTTAGTGATTGAGTTGGAGCATTTTATATAGAAGCCTGACAAGAGCATTATCTTCTTTTTATGACATTCGTGGATATTTATACTTATTCATTCTATCATATCTTATTCTTTCGTGTGTATTTATACTTATTCGTTTTATTATGTTATTCTTTGTGGTAGTATTAACGTATCATTTATTGTATGCGGTTATTAGTTAATTAATTTAAATAAATATTATTATATCAGTATTTTCAAAATAGAAAAAAAATAATTGAATATACAACAACAATACTAATATCAGCAGGCCATACCTTTAGGAAGGGAAGTGGGAAAGTTTCTACCCGCTAAATCTTTTGTTCTGTTATAGTTTTCTCCCGAAAACTCTTTATTGACTGATTTTTGGTACTCTTTATAGCACTAATTTAAAGGATTTATGCAAAAGAAAAAACTCTTTTCTAAGCTGTTAGAGTGAATCGTGTAGTTTCCTCAAAAGAGAAAGAGAGATTTTGAAGATTTGACTAAAATCAATCGTTTTTTGTGTAAAAAAAGGCTTTCACTATTGTTTTCAAGAAGAATTAGCCGTTGTCTTGCAAAAAAGACACTCTCTATGATCCGTAGATCATGTCTCTCTGATCTTAAGATTTTCTTCCTGGTTTTGAGAGACTTTCTCTCTGATTTCTCCCCTTCTTCCCCCCTTAATAAAACCAAATGAAAGCTCTGATTGGTAACAAAAAGATAAGTAATTATATTAAATAGATATTATAACGAAAGACAATGAAATATTTTATAATACTGATCTAAAAATATATTTATATTTCTTTTTCTGTTTTTCTAGTTTTATCATAATTCTTTATTTATTTGTTTGATAATATTTGGAGTAAAATTATTAACCAATACGGAGAAGCGACGAATATATTACTTATGTCTTCCGCTTGTCAAACGTGATTGCTATTCAGAATAATATTTTTCTTAACAAAAGTCAATCACATATCCTATGGGAGGCAAGACTCATCCCATCCCACGAGGATCCCTATTTTGCATTACTTGTCAGAACCGTTCTTTTTCACTAGACCTTGCTCTTTAGAAAAAACGTGTAACACTAAATCATTTAGGGTTTTACCAAAGATATACAACTTTATGAGATTTTAAATATCAGCGGCATTTTCAAATTTTTTTTCAGATTGTATTTAAGAGTGTGGGTACAAATATAGGTGTGAGTTTGAATGTATTAAAATAGGCATCCACATCCATATTCAGACACACCACACACCGATACCCATCCTCAAGATGGTATTTGTAAACTGTATCTCTTGGCTTGTAGCCTTATTACTATAAGAATAAT